ATGTTACCCAGGCTGGTCTCAAACTCCTGTGTTCAAGCGATCCACTCACCTTGGCCTCCCAAAGTGCTGGGATTACAGGTGTGAGACACCACGCCAGGTTTCAGGGAGCGATTTCTAAGGTGACATTTGGTGGGTAGGCACCAGGTTCATCCCTCCCTCTCCCAGCTCCCCAGCCCCTCCTTTGCCCCCAGCTGACCTGTCACCTCCAAGGGCACCAGGTCTTGCTCATCCTCGATGCCCCTCACCACCTGGCAGCGGTAGAGCCCAGAATCACTGGCCCTCAGCGGCCCCAGAAGTAGCGTGGCGTTGACTCGGCGCCGGGGGTAGGCAGGTAGTGACACTCGTCCCTGCCAGCTTTTGGCCACCCTCACGACGTTGTCCTTGGCCACCAGGATGGGCAAATCCTGTCGCTGGCCCGATGCAGTCCGCACCTTGGTCCACTTTATCCGAGGGGCATCTCGGGCTGCGCTTGGCCGTGGCTGCAGGGTAAAGAGACAGGGCAGGGCCACCAGCTCCGCCAGCGCAGCCCGCACGGACCCAGACCCCAGCTTCTGCATGTGGAGCCCCCTTTCGCTGGCATCGGCGATATCCTGTGTGCCTGGGTTGGAGAAGGTGGAGAGAGGGCGTGACTCAGAGGCAAGAACCAAGCAGGAACTGCTATTTCCCTCTTTTAAATTTTTTTTTTTTAAAAAGGGCTGAACCAGAATTCAAACCTAGGGCCATTTGACCTCAGAATCCAAGCAGTGACTGGACGCGATGGCTCATGCCTATAATCCCAGCACTTTGGGAGGCCAAGGCGGGCAGATCACCTGAGGTTTGGAGTTTGAAACCAGCCTGACCAACATGGAGAAAACCCTGTCTTTACTAAAAATACAAAATTAGCTGGGTGTGGTGGCACATGCCTGTAATCCCAGCTACTCGGGAGGCTGAAGCAGGAGAATTGCTTGAACCTGGGAGGCGGAGGTTACAGTGAGCCAAGATCGCGCCATTGCACTCCAGCCTGGGCAACAAGAGCAAAACCCCGTCTCAAAAAAAAAAAAATTATTTTTAGAGATGGAGTCTCTATCGCCCAGGCTGGAATGCAGTGACATGATCACGATTCATTGCAGCTTCAAGCTCCTAGGCTCAAGCAGTCCTCCCATCTCAGCCTCCCAAAAGTGCTGGGATTATAGGTATGAGCCACTGTGCCCAGCCCCTTATTATTATTATTATTAATATTATTATTATTATTATTATTTTATTTATTTATACTTTTGAGATGGAGTCTCGCTCTGTCTCCCAGGCTGGAGTGCAGTGGCATGATCTCAGCTCACTGCAACCTCTGCCTCCTGAGTTCAAGCAACACCTCAGCCTCCCAAGTAGGTGGGATTACAGGTGCGTGCCACAATGCCTGGCTAATTTTTGCATTTTTAGTAGACGAGTTTCACCATGTTGGCCGGGCTGGTCTCCAATTCCTGACTTCAACTGATCCGCCTACCTTGGCCTCCCACAGTTCTGAGATTATAGGCGTGAGCCACCACACCGAGCCTTATTATTTTTTTTTTGAGTCTGACTCTGTCACCCAGTCTGGAGTGCAGTGGCATGAGCTCGGCTCACTGCAACCTTCGCCTCCCAGGTTCAAGCGATTCTCATGCCTCAGGCTCCTGAGTAGATGGGATTACAGGCATGTGCCACCACACCTGGCTGATTTTTGTATTTTCTGTAGAGATGGAATTTCACCATGTTGGGCAGGCTAGCCTGGAACTCCTGACCTCAAGTGATCTGCCTGCCTCTGCCTCCCAAAGTGCTAGAATTATAGGCATCAACCACTGTGCCTCGCCCCTCACTTTATTTTTATAAGGACAAGGATTTTACTCCAGTGCCACTGACTCACTGTATGGCCCCGGGAGGGGCATTTTCCTTCCCTGAGTCCCAGTTTTTCCGAAAGGTAAAGCGAGAGACAGCTAATGAAAAGGAAATGGTGTTTGCGGAGTACTGTCTTTATAACAGGCACTTTATAGCAATCAGCTCATTTGATTTTCATAACCATCTGCAGAGTAGCAATGTCTCATTCTCTTTGGGGAAAGTTGAGGAAACTGAAGTTCAGAGAGATCATTATGCTTGCCTAAGGTCACAGACCAAATATGTGAGGGATTTCTAAAATCTGGGCTCTTGACCACCAGCAGAGGCACCCAGACCTTTATTTCCATCGCTCCACCCTTGGCAGACATCACGAATCAATCTCTGCACTATTCTCATTTCTTTCTTTCTTTCTCTCTCTCCAGTTCATCTGAGCAAAACGATGAGAGGCGGGAATCTCCAGCTTCTGCTGACAATGACTAAAAATAACCTCTTAGGTATCTTGTTCGCTTTTGACTGTTCAAAGACCTTTTAAAATCTATTCTCATCTTATTCTCTATCCCATGCCAGGAGACCAGCAGGGGAAGGCTCTGGAACTCAAAAGCTGCCCCATATTGTCCATCCCCCAGACCCCAATCTCTCCCTCCCCACAAACCAACTCACCCTGTTCCCCAGCCACAAAGAGCAGCATCTGCGGCATCAAAAGGCCCAAGGCCCAGACAAACGTGGCCCCCATCCTGGATCTGGAACAAAATGGAAAGGGAGGGAGGAGTGAGCCATAACCCAACCCTCCCAGATGTTCAGCATGGCAGGACCAAACTCCCCCACTCTACAGATCAGGAAACCAGGGCTCAGAGAGACCAGTGTGTTATTCTAGGTCACAGAAGGAGCCGGCAAAGGGCTGAGCCAGAATTCGAACCCAGGGCCACTTGACCTCAGACGCGGTGGCTCATGCCTATAGTCCCAGCACTTTGGGAGGTTGAGGCAGGAGGATTGCTTGAGGCCAGGAGCTTGAGACCAGCCTAGGCAACATAGTGAGATCTCATCTCTATTAAAAAATTAGCTGGGTCTGGTGGTGCACACTTTTGGTCCCAGCTACTCAGGAGGCTGAGGTGGGAAGATTGCTTGAGCCCAGGAGTTCAAGGCTGCAGGGAGCTATGATCGCACCACCACACTCCAGCCTGGGTGACAGCACAAGACTGTCTGAAAATAAAACAAAACAACAAAAAACAATGTAAGCAATGAAGTCTGTGGTCAGAAGCCTGGGTACTATCGTGAATCAAATCTGGAATTGACTCACTATTCCTTGTGTGTGATCTTGGACAAGTTGCTTACCTTCTCGGTGCCTTACTTTCTCTGTGGATCAGATGGGGATAACATCAGGTGGTTGAAAGGAACGGATGAGTCAATATATATAAAATGCTTAGAACTACCTCATGCAGTAAGGGGTACATTTTAGCTGCTGCTATTATTATTACTGACCTTAACACAGCCAAGACTGAAATACCATTTTTCAAGTCAGCCTCCTCCATCAGACTAGTGGCTCCTAGAGGGCAGCAGTCCATCCCAGTCCTCCCAGCATCCCCAGTCCAGGCAGCAGGCTGGCCTCTAAGCCATCCTTTAATCTGGGTTTGCTGGCTGACACGATTCGCAGCTTCAATTCCAGGATTTGGTTGTCACCAAGATTCTATTCTTGGTTTCTGGGATTTTGGAGGAGCCGCCAACTCCTAGCTGGAGGAAGGGGCTCACCCCTGCCCACCCATCCTCCTCCTGACTTCACACAGCCCAACAAAGATGCTTCTTAGGCCCACAGAGAAACTTCAATTGTGGGTCCAGTTCCCTATAGGGGCTAGGACCCATAAGGATAAAGTGGACAATTATTAAGTGCCTACTGTGAGCAAAGCCAGTCGTTGGGACACAGCAGTACATTTCCTGACTTCACATTCTCCCAGAGACTAGGAATCTTGGGGAGGTGGTCCCTCCCCGAAACCTCCCACCCCTGCCAATCCCCCTCACCAGGCTCAGGAGGTGGGCGCAGATGGAAAATTAGAACATCATTTGCAAACCCAACCCTTGCTCCCTGCCCCTATAAGAAATTATCCTTGAGGAAGGGGTGTGAACAGAGTCCAGAAGGGGAGGTTATAGGGGACAGCTGTCCCCTTCCCCAGTTCTCCTTCCCAGCTGCCAGAGTTCTCGGCTGGGAGGCCGGCCTGGGACCTGTCCGTGGTGCTGAACTCTGAGGCGGCAACGCGGCGGCAAAGCCCACCTGGTCCACCCCTGCCTCCCGCCTGCCAACAGGATGCCTCGGGGACCAGAGATGGCTAGAGGTTTGCCTCAGGCTGCACAGCAGGGTAGAGGTCAAGGCCAGACCCTGGACCGGTGCTCCCAACTACCAACTTGTAAACCTCAGTAACCTCTGCCTTCATCTCAAGCTGTTTTCATTTCTTCCCCTTGGAACTCCAAGCAAGTGTGCGGTCCCCTCACGGCTGTTCTAGGCCTGGCCAGGTATTAGAGAGAGACAGGACTCCAGGTTGCACCTGCCCCCAGCAGGGCCTTAGGAATGGACAAGGCCAGAGAATTCTCTCTTTCTCTCTGTCTCTCTCTGTCACACACATACACGTACACGCGTACACGTGCGTGCGCGCACACACACACACACCCCATTAAGAGGTCAGACTACATCCAGATAGCCCTGCTTCTAATCCAGGACTAGCTGCTTCCATCTCTCTGTGCCTCAGTTTTCCCACCTGTAAAATGGAGATTATCCAGCAAGTACCGCCTACAGCTACTGTGAGGACGAAATGACCTAAGACTTGCAAAGTCCTAGAAATGTTAAATTTAAAAACAGCTCTTTAGACACAAAGCCTCATGTATACACTAAAAATATACTGAGGTTGCCCAACATGGTGACAGACACAGTTTCAGGTGCACACTCCCCACACACACCCTCCCACTCCCTTCCACTCGCACCCTCACACACCCACACCCTTCTCTTAAAATACCTCCTCCCCAGGGCGGCCAGAGATGAGCATTTACACAGCTGTCTGGGGCCCGTGCCCTCATGAATAATGTACGAGCCTCATGCATATGCAAGCAGGGGCCTGCGGGGTGCTGGAGGAGGGGCAGCTCAGATCCATGTGAATGTGTGTGTGTGTGTGTGTGAGTGTGTGTGTGAGTGTGTGTATGTGTGTGTCCCCTCCTTCACTTCACCCCCATCCCAAGTCTCGGTTAGCACTGAATGAGGGTGAGTTTGCCAATGGGCATTTGTGAGTGTGACTGGGTGTGTGTCCGGGGTGTTGTGTCCTGGCAAGGGTGTGCAGGCGGTTGTGCCATGTGGTGTGTGCATGTTGTGTGTGGGGGCCTGCAGCAGCTCCGTGCACCGGGTGGAGCACATGGGACCTAGTGTGATCTGTGGTTGTGTGTGGGTCTGAGTGACCCTCGGCAGGCGGCTGTGCGCATATGTGTGTGTTTCTGACCTGAGAGTCAGGGTGTATTAGTGTGCATGGGTGTGAATGTGGAACTCCGTGGAGGAGAAAGGGAGATCGGCTCAGTCATCATCCCAGGCTGCCCCTTGGGGACTTCAACCCGTGCTCAAGCTTTCCCTGTTAGTGCCCCAACTCTGAACACAGACCACATTCCACACCCCCATGCCCAGGATGCACACTGCCAATCGCATGGAAAGAACCCTTGGCCCCTCCAGATACACAAGCGGGACACACACAGCCACACACCCCAGACACAGACCCGGGGGAAACACACACTCACACAGATTCACAGTGACATTAACAAAGAGAGACAATATGGGCACTTACAAGACAGGCGGCGTGTCTTCTGCACAAAGACACACACCCACAGTCTCGGGCCCCCCCCACATAAACCCCTTGATGAACGGAACAGCCTCAGACATAGCTCCTCACTCACTCACACAGCGATGCCAGCCCCTGGCACAAACCGAGATGGATAAATGTGGCCTCAGTGACCGATGGGCACTCATCATTTTGCCACATGGTGATGTGGCCCTCAGCACAAGTTTTCTGACAAAGACACAACCACAGTCACATCAGATTCACAGGGGACCCTAGAACCCCTGGGCACACTCCCCCTCCCCGCCTGTCCAGGGCGGACACACACACAAAACCCCCATATCCTTGAGGGGGAACTTTGATTTCAGAATGTCCATCAACCATAGTCCCCCAGTGGGGTCCCACAGTGCACCCACCCCTCCCTGCCCGCCCCGCCCCCACGTCCCCCGCTGGGGCCCAGAGCCAACCCTCTCCCTGGCCTGGCTGTTTCTCATTGATGCTGCCTGAGAGGAACAAAGCCCCGCGCGTAGGGATGGGGGTCGCTCCTGCCCAGACAGGGCCTGGGGTCCCAGCCCCTTACTTCCCAGCGTCTGTGCCCCCAAACCAAGCCAGGGCTTCCACACGTGTCCATATGGACAGGTGGAACTAAAGGGGATGGGGGTAGGGGTCTGTGTCATGCTGTAAAGACGTGGGAGGCTGTGAAGGTGCTGGGGGACAGCCCCCGCTCTGAGCTGGTATCCCTCACAGGTCCTGGGGATCCATAGCTGGGCGGTCTAGAGGACCCCCACCCAACATTCACCTGGGACACCCAGTGTGTTCCCTGGGATAAGGGACAACACCTCAACCCAAGGTCTAAGGGAATAACGGGGAACCACGTTGGGATGGGGCCCCCCAGGACCTCCTCCCTGAGTCAGAACGGACCTGACCCAAAAGGACAGGGAGACGGCAGGGCGCCCCTTCCCCATGGCCGTTCCTCTCAGCGCAGATACCTTTCCATTGGGCACAGGGTGATCTGGGGGGCCCCCTCCCCACTGCAGTCCGGCCCGGAATCCTCCATTCATCCGCAAATTGGGAATCCCCACTTAAAATCCTGGGGTGTCTCGGCTGAGATACGGGGGTGCCCTGTTCCAGAGTCCCCCCATTCGGCATCTGGGTGTCCTCTTCTTCTCTCCAAACTCGGGGGGCCCCTCCCCTAACCCTGTTTCCCATTGCTCCCTCCCCAACCCTGAGACCCACCCCCAGCCCGGCCCCCTCCCCATCGGGGGGTTGTCTCCGGATTCCACGGACAACCTTCCTCCCCAAATGTGTGTCCACCTGACATTCCCAAGCCCCCTCCCAGTTTGCGCTCCCTCCTCAACCCGGGGCTCCCCTCCCCCGCTTCAGCCCCCTCCCCATTCTGGGGGCTTCTCCCTGGTCTCATGTCCTCTCCCTAATCCCGAGCTCTGTCTCTAATCCCAAAGTCTTCTCCCCGCCAACACGGTCCCCTCACGGACCCCCCACCTGGCTCCTAGCTCGGACGCATCCCGGGGCGGTCGCGCGGCACAAAGGACGCTGCGCTCCGGCTCAGCTAGCTCCGCGCCGGGTCCAGCCCCTGCGCCCTGCGCTCCGCTCGCCCCAGCGCCGCCTCAGTGCTTATAAAGGGGCCGCGATGCCGCTCTGCGCATGCGCCCCCGCCGGCCCGAGGCGTCTGGCTGCGCGAGGGAGGGGGGCTCCCCTGTCTAAAATCCCCACCCCGCCCATTTTTTGGACACCCACCGCACCCAGGAGAAGACGGCACTGACTCTCCTCCCATCCTCTTTGCCCCAGGAACCGCGTTAAACGTCCCCATTACGCCCCAGAATGAGGCGGTCCCATTTTACAGGTGGGGAAACTGAGCCCCAAGGAGGCAAAGTCGCTTCCCAAGGTCACGCACAGAGGCAGAGCTGGGATTCGAACCTCGCCCTGCCTGATTCTCTAGGGCTCACGTTCAAAGCAGTTTTGGCTACAATTACTGGTTTACCCCATTTACAGAGAGGAAATTGAGGCACGGACAAGACGGGGAGACTCCTCGTTTACACAGCTGGTAAGAGGCATGCAGGGTGAGAGATCAGGTGTGTGACACCCCGGAGCTGTTTCCAGCAACTCCAGCCAGATTGTATCATTCATTCATTCACCTTTGTCCGATCAGCATTTATGGTGCTCTGGCTATGGACTGGGTACTGCTGTTGACACAGGCAGAATTTTGCTTTATGTAGAGGCATAGGCTTGTCCCTGTCATGAGACATGAGACCCCAGTTTTGTTTTTGTTTTGTTTTTTTTTCTGAGACAGAGTCTCGCTCTGTCACCCAGGCTGGAGTACAGTGGCACAATCTTAGCTCACTGCAACCTCCACCTCCCAGGTTCAAGCAATTCTCCTGCCTCAGCCTCCCAAATAGCTGTGATTACAGGCACCTGCCACCACTGCGTGGTGGCTCACGCCTGTAATTCCAGCACTTTGGGAGGCCAAGGTGGGTGGATCCCCTGAGCTCAGGAGTCTGAGACCCGCCTGGGCAACATGGGGAAAACCCTTCTCTACAAAAGAAAAATACAAAAATTAGCTGAACAGGGTGACCTGCACCTGTAGTCCCAGCTACTTGGGGGCTCAAAGCAGGAGGATCCCCTGAGCCCAGGAGGCCGAGGCTGCAATGAGCTGTGCTCACGCCACTGCACTCCAGCCCGGGTGACGAAGCAATACCCCATCTCTAAAATAAATAAATAAATAAATAAATAAATAAATAAATAAATAAACGCCTAGATCCATACAATGGAATGTTAGCCATAAAAAGGAATGAAGCACTGATCAGTGCTACAATATGGATGAACCTTGAAAACATGATGCTCAATGAAAGCAGACAGACACAAAAGGCCAAATAGTGTATGGCTCCATTTACAGAAATGTCCAGGTCGCATTGGGTGTGGTGGCTCACACCTGTAATCCCAGCACTTTGGGAGGCCATGGTGGGAGGCTCCCTTGAGGCCAGGAGTTCAAGTCTAGCCTGGGCAACAAAGCGAGACCCTTTTGTCTCTATAAAAAAACAAACAAACAAAAAGCAAAACAAAAAAACAATT